CACTGTACTTTGATTTTGACACACAGGAAAACTGATCTATACTAACATCTTTTAAAATAATTTGCAGCATTGTTCTCATCTCTGTCCTCTAGTACAACAAGGTTAGCCTACTTGTTTCAACAGTGTTGTTGTATAATTTTGTTCGATGATTGTTTACAATGATTTGTCAATACTTAAAATTCCTGGGTCACTTATTGATAAAATGGCTATCCTCTCTTTTGTAATGCAAAGCCCTGCAATATGTTATAACAAGGTGTTTGCATCAAGTAAGAGTTCATAAACGATGTGTTGTAAGTGCTTTCGGTCACCAGCACATACACTGTTTTCATTAACCCCCTAACAGATTGTGCAGTCCTCATTTTGGGCACAAAGAAGGTTTTAATAGTAGGGGTTGTGCTTGGTTCAATTTACAGATAACAGACCAAAGATTAAACCTACATTACCATATGTTGCAGACGGGCGATATTTGCCTTAATATTTTATTGATGTTTACAGCAACTAAAATTAGTCACACAGCAGGCAAAGGAATTCAGGAAACATTTGATCTGGGTTTTAAAGTTACCGGTAATCAAGAAGAGTTTAAACTTTTCTATAGCTATTCATTTCAGCCCTAAGTATTAGAAGATAACATTTCCTGTCCGGAAAACACTTAATACTTCTGTAATTGGCCGCAAGGCAGAAAATGCATTGCATTCATCTGCTTTCATTTTCTCTCGTCACGAAGTTCCAAACATTGCAAGGTCGCGCTAGAGCTGGAAACAAAAATCTCAACCGAATCCTGGTAGAAATAAATTCACTTAAGGTTATCATACAATCTACGTCTTCAAGAGATTTGTTTGGTGAGTTGATCGAGATCTGAGATTTGTTTACGAGAACTCTACAAAAGACGATTTAGCGAAAACAATACAGCCCGAGGGTAATTAGCGCGGTGCGCTATCTTGCGGTTTGTGAAAACAGTTGCCCTCTGCGGTCTTCAGACGAACCACATGTGTTGCGATGCCATAAATTTCCCACAACATTCTCACACAATACATCAACACTTTAAATGTACGAAAGTACTCCAACATCGTATGGCTATAAAAACAAAAGTAAGCTAACACACTCACCGCCATTTTGAAGTCTGTCGTACGGAACGAGAAAGTCCTTGGGAATGAATCCTTCAGCACCCTTCATATTTGCCACCCAGTACCAATCTTGATCGTCCTTGTTTAGTACACGAACTATGTCTCCTTTCTGAGCGTTGATATCGTTCTCGTCGCAAGCAGTGAACTCGAATCTGACAACGTAATCACCAAAATCATTTTTCCTAAAATTAAACGCCGGTGTAGGGTCTGTTTGCACTTGTAATGAGTCGAGGAACGAGGCGTTGCGGAAATTATTCCTTTGAAGACCTTTTTGTTTATCTTTTCTTTTCTCGTATTCTTCTTCTGGAACACAGTATGTAAACGGTACAAATCCTTCTTTACCATCGTTAGTTATAACATAGATCCAGTCTGTTTCTTGGTATAAAGCTTTGACATGTTGGCCTCGCTTTACGGCGACCTCGTCTTCGACACAAGGGATGAAATCGTGTAAGACAACCATTTTGCGAGGTTCAAATTCAATCTCGACGTCATCTTCCTCCTTGCCTACCTCCACAAGAGAGTCCACACTGTTGCTGCCGGTGATCCGTCCCTTAGTATTTCCATTTCGAGTGGTGTCTTTTTGTTCTTCATCTCGATACCCTGTCAAGGAAATTGACAAGCCGAGTGAGACCATCGTGTAAACAAAAACCTCATAAACGGTTTTCAAACACTACCCGAAGCTGAACCTGACTACTCACGTTTTCTCCGTCTCCTTGGAATTCTCATGGGGCAGAAAAACGCCATGGTGAGATAAAACTGCTGCAGAAAATTCGAAGATCAGCCAACTCTCAACCGCCGATCAAAAGAATGCGTGTTGATGTGTGAAGTAAATGAGGTTGATGGCACTCTGGGAAGTACCTTTGTCTGATCGTCCCATGAGACCTTGTGAGTTTTTCTTATGGGAGGGGAGAGAGGCCAAGGGCCTTGACACTTGCTCTTCGCGGGTCTGACTTTGAGGGAATGAGGACAAAACAAGCAGCCAAACGAACGAAGAACAACTCTGGGTGAAGTCTACAACTATTCAGTTTATCCAGCATATTAGACATAAAATAAATTTCATAAAGTTGGGACAGAGACCTTATCAGATTATAATATCTTCTGGAAAGTACGGATAGTTTATCACAGAAGATTTCACCATTCAGATTTGTGAGCTCGTGGGTTACTTGCTAAACTTTCTACGAAAAAAAACCTTCAGTATCTTATTATCTAATCCTCAGTTTCTGTGTTCAAGAGAAACCAGCTGACTCATTTTCTGAAATGCCAGAATTTTCTGGGAATTTTAGTGGGTGTAGGAAGGATCTCAATTCGGATCTTTGCGGGCAACCATTTTATCATTATTCATACCGCAGGGAAGGGTTGGGCATAAGAGATGGCGGGGAAAATTTAGCAATTTGTTTAGAGGCAATATGAATGACAAAAACAAATTGCACAAGAGCCGGATTATATTGTGTGAGAAGTAGTTAGTGTCAACATTCTGTTTTCATCGTCAGCACCTTGTTATCTGACCTTCTGTTCACCTCTAGTTATCACGTTCTGTGGCGTTTCTCTTTTCGGCACCTTGTTTTTTTGATATTCAATTCGGCTGACACTCCCCCGCTCAAAATATTCGTTAGTATCATGGTTAGATTGATCACCAGCGGCAGGGAAAACTCGCCCACAAACAACGAATCTGGAGAACACGGAAATCGCGCCTATATCACTGGTTGATATTATGGTCAACTGTCAACGCCGGTGTCTTTAAAGTCGGTTTCTTACTATGACCGCAGCGCTATGCTACGCTATGGGCGCGCCGTTTAAAACACGAAAAGGCCCAATGATGAAATGGCGCTAAGGGTAAGAGGTGTCTTAAAGGATTAACCCTTATACTTATTGCGAACTAACACTTTCGAGTCAGTGATATTTAGGCTAACCTGAGTGCCATTTAGGCTAATGGTAGTGTTATTTCGTCATTTCACCCTTTCATGGTTTATACTCGCCCCTACGTGATATGCTAGCTTTCGAGGCCAGCAGAAGCTTCAAAATAGATTTCGGGATGCAAAGAGAATTAACTCTGTACTGGCGCGGTT